TATTCTTAGTCTCTTCTGGCAGCTTGTCTGTTAAGTTAATTAACTCAACCAATATCTCCATATAATGATTTTGCTCATTTGAAAAGGTAACGTCTAGACTTCTTTTAAGAGTTGTGTAATATTGGCATATATAGGTATATTGGATAGATTAATCTCTATTTTTGCTAGAGCAATTGTCACTTAGTTTTACTACCACCGTATAGTTTCGACAATTCCTCGAGCTGATGTTAATGCCTAAATTTTTTATTATGTCGGGATCTATGGATCTTATCCATCCTGTCCGCCACATCGTCCACCATAATCTGCAATTTGAGAAAACAGCAGATAAATGGATTATATAGTCCTTTTTTTTAATTCTAACCAGGTCATGCATTTTGTCTATATTTTTTTTAACTTAGTCTCAACATATTATTCTCATTTATATCTAATGCAGCTTCGACCTTTCCTAGATCTATTCGGTATGCTTTTATCCTTTATATAACATTCCCTTCATTCCGCTGAGCTGTATGGAAGACGTAGTCTGGCTTAGCTAAATTATTCTGAGGCAAGTCTTTCATTGACTTCATCATGAGAAGAGCAGGTGAAGATGATGTACTAAAATCTAAATTTTCAGATAAATTTTAAATGAAAATATCTCCAATTTTGTGCTCATATGGACTTGTATTGCTCTGGATAATTTAAACCAAGTTTCCAAAGGATAATTCGGTCTTGCAGATCGATATATATATATATATATATATCGCAAGACAACCCTTGCGAAGTTTCTTTCCAAAAAAATTACTTTACAGAGACATACATGCTGCAAGTGATACATTACTTTGTCCGACTGTAATGGGAAAAATTGAGAAAAGTACATGTTACTTTGTAGTAAAGTTCTTATATTCATAATGTTTTTTTTAACTAAATTTAAGGTTAATTTTGTTGGCTAAACTTTGTGGCCCATGGATATAAGAGTTTTGATAGTCACACAATAGCCACACAACATTTAATCCATCTCCAATTGTGTAACTAAAAACTTTGAAATCAAGAACTGTTCGTATTTAGCGCCAACTCAGTTTTTCACTTTTTCTATTGACAAATTTGAGCCTTTTGGGGTTGTATTATTCCCCTCAACATTCTTTAGACTTTATTCTGGCGAAGCACGTGTTGATTTTGCGTATCAAAAATTCACTCTATTTTAAAGAAAAATTGTACTAAATCTATTACATCATCTATTCATATTTGATTTATAGTATGTCTGCATATATACCCCTCAATTTGATTTGTAACTTAGTAGTTAATTTTGTGCTTTCCCCATTCATTTCGCTATACGTTTTATACCTTTTGGCTTATTGTTTTATCTACTAACTAATTATTGAACTGCATCATATCCCAGTAATTGTAGGCGATATTTTTCTAATTTTTTAACAGTACCACTTAATTTTTTTCTTTAACATATATAACTGCTACGATTCACTTTGAATAAGAAATAACTTGCATATAAAAACGTTTAGTTTAGTTATTGAGCAAAATTCAAGGAGCATATTCATTAGTCACAAATGACCTACATGATGCTTTATGCACTATATATGCCAGGCTAATTTCATAACTTATCATACTTTTTTATTTCTAATCATTCCTATTAATTTTACTTTTTCTCTTCAGATTTTCCCAAGTCGCTGAATTCATCACTAAAAAACGCTCTCAGTACACTGATTTTGAGGTCGTCAAAGTTATCGGCCAGGGCGGCTATGGTCGTGTGCAGTTGGTTCGACACCGGCGAACCAGACGCGTATATGCCATGAAAATGATGCGCAAACAGCACCTTCTAGATCACACTCAGACCGGCTACCAAGAGGAACGCGACATTATGGTAAAAGCGAGTAGCGAATGGCTAGTCG